TTTGAGGTAAGTCTGTCATAAGGTTGGGGTCGTTTTTTGTTATACGATTCATAAAATCTTTTGACATTATTATTATTATTTTTAATCTTTCGATACACCAAATTGAAACCTTTATTCAAATCAAACAAAACTTTTGGGAATGGAATTACTTGGAGTTGGAGGCATATAAAAGTCAGGGTATCTTCCCCCTATCCACCTTTGATGGTCACTTTTCTCCATGTATAACAAAGGAAGGTTTCTGCATTTATTAAAATAATTAAGATCTAAACACATTGATTTGTTTTTGGATATATTTTGAAAGCTTTCTTTTTTTTTTGGTAATATATTTTTAAAGCTTTCAGTCCCTTCTAAATTGTTCGATGCAATTGGCAAGCAAAACAAAGTTTTCTGTTGTCAAATGGATGAAAGTATATTTTTGGCCTGAAATCATTTCCATTCATTTTAGAGCGGAGCAAATGTAGCCTAAAAGTCATTCAAAAGAGTTCATTTTTATTTTATCTATTGTAACAAAAATGTCTTGCCTGAATTACACCTAAGGCTCAGTTCGGAAGGAGTACAAATACAAATATGTACAGTACAAATACATACAAAAATACAAGATTTTGCGTCTACACATTTGCATTTGTATTCCTTCCAAATGGAGCTAAAGCTCAGTTTGAAAAGAGTACAAATACAAATATATAGAAAATAATACAAAATGCAAGATTTTGTACTCTACAAATTTGTATTTGTACTCCTTCCAAATACAAATATGTAGAGTGTAAATCCTTGTATTTTATATTTATTTGTAGTGTACATATTTGTATTTATACTCTCTCAGTTTGAAAGGAGTACAAATACAAATATATACAATACAAATACAAATGTATAGACTGCAAAACCTTATATTTTGTATGCATTTGCACTGTACATATTTGTATTTGTATTATTTTCAAACTAAGCTTAAACTTTAGTCAAAGGACTCAAAGCTTTGAAATTTTGCCTCTATTTGTTTGCAGTGCAAAGAAAATCTGATTTTGCATGATCCGGTTCAGTTTTGCACCCATCCATTTGTAATTATGATTTATACCTAGGAATTACCATTTTTACCCGGCCTGGCCCAGCCTGACCTGCAATATATATTATAGTATTTAAATTATAAAATAGTATACTTATTACATAATATTATACATTATATATACTTTATATATTATACATATACAAATATGTATTTTATATAAAAATTTTAATATATATTAAAAGTAATCATAAGTTGACACGAATCAACTCACATATAAGAAACAAACTTGTTTTCGAAAGTTGGCGATCATTTTAACTCATAGCTCATAGGCAATGTTGGGCATGGGACAACACTCACTGCACTCGATAGTGTCTGTAAATGCAACATTAGAGGAGGGTTGTCTCATATCCCACATCACCTATGAATTAAAATGAAGGGCTTACATAAGTATATATAGACAACCATGTGTGGAAGATCATAGCCTCATACCCTATTCTTTTACAACATAGCTGCAAAGCCAACCTAAGCCCGACCCACGGACCCAGAACATTTTCTTTCCACGTATTACATATAATATTTATAATTACTTACTTTATTTTCAATATTTGATGTTATAAGCCCAAAACCTCGCTGGCTAGACCCAGCCTGAGCTTATTATATAGGCTCAGAGTCCGGGCTGTGCCGGGCCCAAAGTTTGGGCCATAAGCCCAGTTCAAGCCAGCCCATATTGCACTTCTGTCTGAATCTGATACAAAATATGTATTTCTTTTTTTGTCTCATTTGCACTTATTAATAATACAAAATTTACATTACATTTAAAAACTGATGAAAATTTGCACCACCTTTCCTTTACATCAATCATCTCGTATAAAGTGGGAACCACAGCATCTTTCTTATTACCTTACTCCCAAGCAAAGAACCCTCCTACCTACAGATTCTTTGATATAAGGTGGGAACCACATCATTTTTATAAATAAATAAAACAGTCAAATTGACAACCATTAATTAACATCTCACAAATTTGCAAAAAAGATAACTAAATTTTCTGTACATTGATCCAAAATCCAAATCCAAATTGTTCATAGACAAACTGAACCCGTGTAGGAATCGGGTCCAAGATTTTAGAAATGTGATTGGACTGCATTTGCAAAAAAGATAACTAAATTTTCTGTACATTGATCCAAAATCCAAATCCAAATTGTTCATAGACAAACTGAACCCGTGTAGGAATCGGGTCCAAGATTTTAGAAATGTGATTGGACTGATTGCATCCGACTGAATGTTTGTAGAAAGGTCTTAGTAGCTACGGGTGCACCCAATCTCAGAGCGGATAGTTTTGATTTGTGAAAGGTGGTACCTTGCATCTACGAGTATTTAACCAGATGATGAGACGATTCCCTTGCATCTACGAGTATTTAACCAGATGGTGAGATGATTCCTTCATGCGCAAGTTCTTAGAAAAAATATTCTTATCAGGTCGAGGGTCCACTTGTCGTTACAAGGAAGATAAAATGACTTTTCTTCCTTTTTTATTTATTTTTTTTTTCTTGACGGGTTCGATCGACAACTGGTGCATGGATACACTTGTGACGAAGAAATATGCATGATTTTGTTAGAAAGCAAAGAAGTAAGAGAGTGACAAAACAGAGATCATGATCTCTTTGTACTTGTATATATGCTTTTGTTGTTTTGAGCCTTGACCTCCAAATCAACCACACTGTATAAGGTTTGTTTGCCTTATTCTGCTCTTTCTAGTTTCTACCCAACCTTTACGAGGAATATTTTGCTGTCAATGGGGTGTGCGTGTGTGTCTGGTTCAAGATAAATAAAAAAAAAAGCTGGCTGTTCCAATTCCAAACCAGACTCTATGGGGGTCTAAAATTTCAATTTTAGAATTGAGCTGAAATCGAGTCTGAATCATTAATAAGACTCGATTACATTTCTGAAACTTCCATGATTGAGCAAGGAAACACTAGTGGATTTAAATCGACCTGAGTAATTAATAGGCTAAGAAGTCAGTCTGGGCAATCTCCAATAAAGAAAGTGGAAACCTCTTTCTTAGCAAGAGAAAGCACTACCCACAGTGCCAAAATGTCTTTTTTGAATAGTAAAGTAGGCCTCCGCTCCAATGTCGATTTGACCCTCCATTGCACTGTTCTTTACTGCACCAGATCGAGGAGACGAGCAAAAAGATGAAAAGCTAATTAATTGGAACTTATTTGATACATCACTTTGATGATTGGAAAAACACAGTTTGATGGCATAGATTTTCAGGCTGATTTTGTTTTTGATACCTAGATCTTTAGGTTGATTGAATACATCATTTGGATATTATTAGATTAGATGACATGTTGGTACATTATTTAGGCTATGTTCGGTTTGAAGGAAAACATAGGAAAACCTATATGAGGTTTGTAAAAGTTTTTCTATATTTTCCTTTCTTTCCTTATTTTTTTCTTTAAACCAAACACAGCCTTAGATGGTTTGGCTTTTATTGAAAAAAAAAAAATGATGCTTGAACAGTTGAGATCAATTGACGTTAAAACTGGCTCCGACTTATAGTCAGTGCCTGTATCATTTGGTTGGGATTAATGCGTGTATATGTGTGTTTAAATATGGATAATTACATATACATACCTTGTATGTTTGAGAAACTACTTAAATGTACTTTAGAGTCTCAAAATTTACTTTATATATACTTTGTTGACAGTTGACCTTTCAAAGTTCGAAACAAGTGGGTCATCAACTTAATGTGTTGATATTAAGAGATCACTTTGATGGTCTTAAACCGTTGAGCTAATCTGGTATATATGACATTTACATGACTTTTTTTAAGGTAATTTACAAATTATCACCTTGTACTTTGAAGGTGGTAGTAATACAGAGCACCCTAAACTATTATTTGTACAACGACCCTCTAAACTTTCAGATTCCTACACTTTGCTCTCTTCATTAGTGTTCCATTCGATTAACCTTGAGGAAAAATTCTCACATGATCCTCATGTGCTTGCTAAACATCTCTACTTCTCGATTTACCCTTACCTAAATTTGCGAGACCATTTTGCACATATTCTTGCATATTTTTATAAACCCCTTACTTATGTTTCTTCCTCCCTTCTTGTACTAAGAGTTTTGTTCAAAGCAAAGTGAACAAAAAGGATATATTGTGCTTTGTCAAATAAATTTTTGTCATTTTAAAATGTTATCCTCTCATTCATACAAATCTCAAACAACATTTAGTAAATTAATTTCCTTAATAAATCCAATTAATGGAGAGGGGGCAAAATATTGGAATCTGAAAGTTTAGGGTGTATTAGTCACAAATGAAAGTTTCGAGGACTAAATACCACTACCCCCAGAATTCAAGATAGTAATATTTAATTTACCTTTCTACCCGGGAATTGATCATGGCTCCAGGTCTGATTTTAAACCCTAAAACCATTTGATCAGAATTTGGATTAAATGGTTAGACCATTTGACCTGAAAATTGGTGGTCAAAGTGATTCCATTTCTGGGTCAGTTTTTAAAAACCATGGTGTAGATTATTCCTTTTAACAATTGCACATTAATAATTTAAAAGAAGGATACTTCAGTATTTCAGAAAAAAAGTCTAACAATGTATGTGAAAATTGAAACTAGTAAATGTTGGAATGGGGACGGAAAGGGGCAGTGCAGATCAAAAACTAGTTGATGGATCTTTAATCAGAGAATCATTATTATAAATTTTTGGTAATATCAAAATCCGTAATAGATTGTTTTCTTTCAAACCAAACACAGCCTTAAAAATCTCATGCAGGGACTTAAAAATTATATATGGCCGACTCATTGACGGAACGGTGACAGGAAGGACTTATTTGTCTTTTTCTTTTGGGTTCGAGGATTAGGAAGGGTTATTTTTCATGATTCGAAAACAAGGGGATGTGAATCGCGATAAATAGTTCATACAGGGACTTAAAATTTACCTAAAATAAAATAAAAAATGTTTAAGTAGCCCGCCGGTTTTTCATTTGAACTTTGAAAGAAAGCTTGGAAAACCAGCGTCGAATAGTGCAGCTCTGTAGAGATTAGAGACTAGAGAGACTAGAGAGGAGGACTCAAAGGAGGTGGGGATGGAGAAGATCTGCGTAGCAGTTAGGGTTAGACCTCCGGTGAGCCAAGAAGTCTCCAATGGGTTGTATTGGAAGGTCGAAGACAACCGGATCTCTCTCCACAAGCCCCTCGGCACCCCTATTTCCGGCGTATCTTATGCTTTTGGTATTCTCCATCTTATTCGTTCTCAATTATTCTCTGCTGATTAGTTTTCAGTAAATTATCTCGAAAGTTGACTATGCATACTTCGGTATTTTCTTCCTTATTCGTTCTCAATTACATTCTTTTTCTCTAAATTATTTGGAAAGTTGATTATGTATACGCGTATATCAAGATCCCAATTTCATTAATGATGCTTGCAGATCACGTATTCGATCAAAACTGCACGAATGCCAAGGTCTATGAGCTTCTTACAAAAGACATTATTCGAGCTGCTGTTGAGGGTTTTAATGGTACGAGCTACTTCCGATGTTCCCCATTTCGTTTTCTCTACATCATTTGATATTGTTTGGGACATGGTTAAATGTATGGCCAAGGTCTTGTAATTTGATCTCATTGATGATGTAATTCCTTGGTAAAAAAGGAAGTACGAAATGATTGTCTCCACAGTCCTTGTTTTTTGCAATTCTTGTTTATAGCACTTCAGCACTTCTCTTTTATTCGTTGGTTGAAGGAGAGTTCATAGTTGTCTTTCTAAATTCTAATTTCTAAGAACTTGAAAGATTTAGAGAAGGAATATAAACTACTTTCAATTTAAATTGTTTATTTGTCTTCCGTGTCCCTATTTCTTGTTGCCTTTTGACCTTACTTGGATGTTGAAAGTATTGGGATGGGTTTTAATTTCATTAAATATACGAAGATCGATTGAATGGGATGGAAGTTCATTTCTTTCCTCACTTGGACCAAGATACGCCCAGATATAGAGCATTTTTTTTTTTCAAATGAATTATGAGGCAATGCAAGACTATGTGAAGTAGGTGTATTGAAAGAGCATGGATTACTTGAGGTTGCATGCAATGAAAAATTTGAACTTTTGGCTAACATCTTTTCACAATTCTTAAGAATCCAATTAATTACTTAACCTGGAGCAATTCCTATACTCTGCACTTCAATTGAAGGAAACTGTTAAGAGTAATGCTTGCAAAATTCTTGTTTATTGATGGTACTAGTGTATGGGACGAAAATGCTGCTAAATCTCTGACTTGGTTTGGTTTTGACATTTTGATTTTGACCATCATGGATTTTTTCAGGAACTGCATTTGCTTATGGACAGACCAGCAGTGGCAAGACTTTCACTATGAATGGTCGTGAAAATGATCCAGGAATCATTCACCTTGCTGTTAAAGATATTTTCCAAAACATTCAGATGGTACCATTGATATTTTCTGGAAACTGATGCATTTATTGCAAGACTTTGGGGGTTGTGGCTGTGGGTTCACCATTTCATTTTTAATATCTGCAGGCAATTGACAGAGAATTTCTGATTCGAGTATCTTACATGGAAATTTATAATGAAGAAATCAATGATCTTCTTGCCCCTGAGAATCAGAAACTTCAAGTTCATGAGAGTTTAGAGGTGAGCTTTGGAGGATTTGGCTTTATATCACCTTCCATATCATGCACTCTTACTGATTTTTCTTGCTTTCTAGCGGGGTATTTTTGTTGCAGGTCTTAGAGAAGAAATTGTGAACAATACTGAGCAAGTCATTAAGCTCATTGAACTAGGGGAAGGTCTGATCCTGTTGATGATATATGCACTCTAACTGGATTTTTTTTTAAATGGTTTGTTCCGTTATATACAATTTGAATGTTTTCCTTTTTCCAAAATTTGATTCTTCTAGTTAACCGGCACTTTGGTCAGACAAACATGAATGCACGAAGTAGCAGATCCCACACTATATTTAGGATGGTATGTTGGCTCTGAAAGGAAGCTTCATTGTTGTATGCATCATTTGCTATTCTTGGTCCCCCTATGGACACTTAGTTTTATTTATGAATTAGGTCATTGAAAGTAAGGGCAAGGACACAACATCTAGTGATTATTCAAATTCAGATGCTGTTCGTGTGTCTTTCCTGGTTTGTAATTCTTTCATCAACAAAAATATTACTAATCGCTGCAAATGTTTTCTTTAAACTTTTTTTTTTCTGTTTATTTTGATTCTCTTCGTGTTTAGTTGCTTTTGATCATATGGTTGTTTTGTTCTGCTTATTTATGGCACTACCTTTTTTTGTATCTTTTATTCTCTGGTTTGTCACTAGAACTTGGTAGATTTAGCTGGGTCTGAGCGTATTGCTAAAACTGGAGCTGGTGGAGTACGCTTGAAGGAAGGAAAACACATTAATAAGAGCTTAATGGTTCTTGGGAATGTCATTAACAAATTAAGTGATGGGAGCAAGCAGAGGTACTTTTTTTTGGATGGATAGGCAAGCAGAAGTACTTGATACTTCAAAATCAGAACTGTGCTGGTAAATCCATATTATTTAAAAGGACTGGACTGTTGATGCAGGGGACATATTCCGTATCGTGATAGTAAGCTGACACGCATACTCCAACCTGCGCTTGGTGGTAATGCTAAAACTTCAATCATTTGTACTGTAGCACCAGAGGAGGTACCCTTTTTGTTCATGTTTAATACCTTTTTGCCTGCTATTACCAAATTGCATGTGGAAAGCTTTTTTATCATTAATGCAAAAAGTTTGTTATTTGGTGTACTTAATTCATTTAGATTCACATAGAAGAAACAAAGGGAACCCTCCAGTTTGCCAGCAGAGCTAAACGCATTACAAATTGTGTCCAAGTAAATGAGGTAAATATGTTACTTACCCAGATTTGGTTTGCCTTTACACTTTAAGAAAGTGCCTTGTATATGTTTTTCTAGGATACCTGATGATGTTCTATTTGTTTACTGAAAATACTAAAGCTATTTTTAAAGTGAAGAATGTTTTCAAGGAGTTATTTTCATGATATTCTGAATAAGGGTCTTTTAATTTTTTTGATTTCTTTTTGTTTGTATTTGTATATGTATACACCAAACATGTGCTTGTTTTATCTTTAACATATTTAAAGCCATTTTGTGGTATTATTTAATATTGAGAGCTCCTCAATAGTTATTAAATGATCTTTAAGAGTGTGATTTTAATACTCCTTTCTTTTATTCAGTTTTCTGTACTTACTCTTCTATTAGTTTGTTGCTTTTTATAAAAATTGGTTACTCATATCCTATAAGGCTTAAGCCTCACATCTTAAGGCATATGCTTCATGCATCTAAAAGCTCTAGTATCATGGCTCATGCTTTTGTGTTTTTAAATATTATATAGCTTGGCATATGATATAGAAATTTCGTAGATCCATGATCCATCACAATTATTTAGAAATTATAATGTAAAAACATTTATTAAATTTAAAAGTATAAAATAAAATTATAGTCATTGATAAAAATGAGAAAATTTAGGCACATTTTTGTTGGTCCCTTTTCCTTCAACCATTTGGGATCCAATTGGTGATGCCAAGCGTGGTGCACAGTCTGCTGGCTGCCTGGTCTTTCAAAGGTCTTAGCAGAAGAGGGTCCATTTTATGGAAATTGCTTCCCTTTGCAATCTGCTGGGGCCTATAGAAGGAAAACAGAAGAATCTTCAATGGTGATGGAGGAGGTGCTTCTTGGCAAATGGAATGGCAAATGATTTTTTGGTCAAGATCCCATAGGGAGTCTTTAAACTTTTCATACTCTATTTTTTGTAATCAATGGTACAGAATAATACATATGGCAACAACTTTGTGCCAGTTAGCTTTTTTGATGTATAGTGTTTAGATGCTGGCTGTTCTTTTTGTATAGCTTTTGTGGATTCCTCTCCCTCTTTTATAAAAAAAAATCACCTTTCAAAAAAATGAGAATTCAGGAACGTAGGCAAGAGAATTATAAATTTCTGAAGGTAAATATTACGTTTATGGAATCTATTATTAATTTTTAAAACAAAAACAAAATCTTCTGGAGGTACTGATATTATATATTTTATAGAACATGATATCAAATCACCACATAAAAGCCCGTTTCTGATAAAAAATCACCACATAAAAGCATGATCCTTAAATCAGAAATTTGAGGAAGCATTTTTGTTTCAATTTTGGAAACAAGAAACACATATACAACCAAGAGCTTGTTTTCTATGTTTTTGTTTTGAGAACCAATTTGTTTTCAAACCCATATGGTATTAATTTGTTTTGAGAACTCACAACGAGAAAAACAATTCACACTGGAGAACACACCATTAATTTACAATTTAGTATCATTTATTTATTTGGATGGAATCTGTTTCTGCAGTGAAGTATGGAATTGGCCTTTTTACCTTCCTGAAGTGGTGCTGGCTTTGCTATCTCTTTTTCTCAACTCTTTTGAATTTTCATTTCTTCTTTCCTTTGAACTTTGTCTCTAAAGTTTAGGTCCAAATGTCTTGCTTGCACTTGAATTATTTCATCATGTCCTAATTGCAGTGTATCTTGTCATAGATCCTAACTGATGCAGCCTTACTGAAGCGACAGAAGTTAGAGATTGAGGAATTGCGTAAGAAGCTTCAGGTGATGGTTCATCCTTTAAATTTATTTTGTTAGTCTTATCATCCAGTAAATATAGCATTTTTTTGTTTGTTTAGGGATCCCGGGCAGAGGTGCTTGAGCAAGAGATTTTGAAATTGAGGAATGAAATGCTGAAGGCAGGTTTTAGATTTCTTTAACTTATTTGTTAGTATTTTTTTCTGTTGCCTTCTTCTGAACTTTATTATCCTTTTCATCAGTATGAATTAGAGCATGAAAAACTTGCTATGGAACTAGAGGAGGAGAGAAAATCACATAAAGAACGGGATCGGTGTATTAAGGAGCAACAGATGAAAATAGACAACCTCAGTAATCTTGTTAGTTGCTCAGAGCAAGACAGAAATTCAGTTCAGGTGTGGCTTAGGCAGGGAATAGCTATTTCCCAGTAATACTCATTTTTCTTCTTTTGATAATTCTAGGGTTTGTGAACTTACCTGCAACATACTTTGTTGCTTACTTTTGTCAATTATTTCATTATTGGCTAACAGAACAGCAATGGACACCCTTTCTCACAGCGTCAATACCAAAGCCTTGAGATCTGGGAGCAGGTAAATTGCTTAATACTTTTTAACCATAACTTACCTTCTCTACAAAAACTAGGGTGATACATTTGCAAACCAGTGCAGAGTGTATGAGATGTCTGTGGATGGTCTGTGTCTTAGTCTCTTGCACTCAAAGTCTTAATACTCCTTTAACATGAAAAAAGCCTATTTTCTGACCTTCATATTTATGATGTGTTACTGATTTCTTTTTACTGGTGCTATACTTAGGTGTGATCATGGACCAAGCCGGGTTTGAGCCTATGCATTTAAATAGGTTATAACATAAAACAATATTGTGGGCTGGGATGGGCTTGAAGTGTTGGGTCTGGCTGGGTTAGAAATGATCACTCCTAGCTATACTGTCACTCATTCATTTTTCCTTTGCTAGTAGTCATGGAAAACTTCAGTCCATATATACTTAGTTTACAATTGATTAGTAAAACTGTATCAATTCATTGATGTCTTTCCATGCTTTTAATCATCTCATTATGGAAGTGCTTTGACCTTGCCATTTCTAACTCTTCCTTCTAAGCTTTTGTGGTGAAAAAAGAGAAAATTGGCCATGTTTGTTACATAAAATGACGTTATAGGAAACAATTAAACTGGTATGATGCAGGAGAAAAGGAGGCAAAATTGGGTTTTTGAGTATTTTTGTATTTAGGGAAGTAGATGTATTTTAGTCATTTTGTGTATTGTTTCGCTTAGTAGTTTGATTTGTCTAGTCATAGCTTAGTTGTGTTTAAAGTTTCAGTCATTGGTTAAGCACTTTAAGAGTTATTTTCTTATGATAGTGGCAATTTTGTAAATGTTGTTTTTCTTATTTCTAGTAGGACTAGCCACCAACTCATAAATTCTCATTAAAGGTTTTCATTTAGCTTTTCAAAGCATTAAAACCAATTTAAGTAAGTTTTTCTTTATTTTACATCAAATGTTTTAAACCCAACATTTTCTTATTTTGCCAATTTTGTCAATTTGTGCCAAACAGTCTCTAGTTGCTCTCATATTCTATCCCTATGCTTAGCTTTTAAGTTTTCTATTTTCATCCTCCCAGAGAATTTGCAGTATTCAACAATTTCACCTCACACCTTTCTAACCCTTTAAGCCTTCCCTTAGCCCTAAAAATCTTCCATTAACTCTCTTCTGGTCAATGGGTACCTTCATAATTCCTAGCTTCATTGTTGAGTCATTCCAATTTTACATCAGTTTGGTATCAAAACTGTCAGTCCTATATAATTTGGTATAAGAGCGATTGGTCCTACATCAGAGTGTTAATACTTTTCATCATCTAATATATAAGCAGAGCACTCAGATGCTTCAAATACGTTGCCATTTAGCAGAGGTCTCATAAGTTTTCTCTCCCAGTGCTCAATATTGCTTCTCTTGCTCAGCTGTTTGGTCTGTTTTACTGTCCTATTTGTATTGTTTGGTCTTCTTGCTGATTGTTTTTCTTGGATTGTGTTAAACAACATAAAATAGCTCTGATACCATGTCAACTAACATAAAATAGAATGGCACATCAAGGAGAAACCAAGAAGTAGAGAGAACACCAAGATTTAACGTGGTTTGGCTTGGTAGCTTACATCCACTGGAGGAGAGGAAAAATATCCACTATGAGAACAAGAGATACATGGCTTCACTCTCACTCTCTCTTCCTCACTCTTCCTCAAACCCTAATCTCACACAACCACTAGCAGACTAGCTTAAATAAGCAACAAAATATATCAGAATTACACAGATGCCCCTTTTTCTCCCATAAAAATACAATATTTCTCTCAACAGATGGTAATCTGGGCATTAATGAATGACATTTGTCTGTTTAGGCTTCAACACCCAACATAAAGGGTTTCAAGATGTTACATTGGTGTGGTTCCTGTTCTTTTAAATAAAATGTCCTAAATCAAATACAAAAACATTGGCTAAATACTTCAAGACTTACTTTTTGATAATGGGTCTCAAAGAAAATACAAAGGTATAAGTTTCGTATACTGAGTTTTGTTCACTAGTTACAAGTGAAGATGAGGCTATTAGAAAGCATTTTAAACTCTACAATGCAGAGAATTATTAAGCACCTTATAACAAGGTAGAGTGCAGTATGTTCCCTTGTTTTTGTTCTTTCATTTGTTGATTCTTATTTTGCAATTATTTTTTGTTTCTGTGCTTTCTGTTTTGTTGACGATTTTTATCATGATCATTCAAGTATCACTAGTGCTAGGATACTTGTTTTTTTCTGGATCTGATTGTCTGCTGACAGGGACTTGTTTCTGTAAGACAGAGCCTTAAGGAAGATAGCAACGACAATTATAGCATATTTCAAGGAGATGCTTTCAGGACCCCTTGCTTTAAAGCAGCTCCTAATACCTTTGTTGCAAAACGATCAGATTATTCAATGCCACTTGACACCAGTCCCATTCCAGATGATTTCGGCAATGTTGCTGATGAAGACTTGTGGTTGAGGCTCAATAAAGGCCAGGCAACCGACCTTGATTCACTTCAAATGACTCCAGCTAGGGAAAACCATTCTTTCCCATCAATTGATGCTTCCCCTGTGAGTTTGTTTCCTGAAATGTTTCCCTTATACTTGGTTTGCTCATGCTATTTTTTTCTGATATTTTTCATCCTCTCTTTTTTCATAACAATAACTAGACAAATTATGTCTGGATTGCATTTGTTTAATCATCATAGTTAGGTCTCAACTAAAACATTCTCATTGTTGTTGCCTCAGTTGGATTACTTCATTTTCCATTTAGGAAAGCATGCCGTTTGCTAATATGAAAGCTTGTGTTCACTTTTCTGTATCTCTACTAGTGTAATGCACAGACACAACTTGGTTTTGCAAGATGGCTGGGTGTGATTATGAAATCTTTTAATGCTGATTTAGATGAGTTGTCTAGTCACTTAGAACCATGTATTATTTGTTTTTGATTGATTTAGAATATTTCCAGGGTTATTCAATTGATTATTACAAAGAGGAGATTCAAAAGCTCAAGCAACAATTGGAACATGCTATTAAAGAGAAAGATGAACTTGAGGTTAGTGATTTAATATTCATATGTTTGTTCTCTTTCTCAAAGTTTTTGGTATCTTCTGTTGTTTGCAAACTATATTAATTCCAGCAGAAAAGCAAGGCATTTATAGTGTTCAGTAATCGGTACAAAGGTTTCTGCTCTCTTCTGTTTGTTGTGAGTTATATTCTATAAGACAAGTAGACTACATGTGTATGGTATAATAGCTTAGTTAAAGATGTATTGGCATTTTTGAAGTGTGAAATGTCATGGTTGATTTGAAGTTTCGGGGCAATGCAAAATATATTGACCAACAGGTCAATGTAATAGATCTTTCTGGAATCAGCACCAACAAGTATTTCTAGGTATTAAACCAAGAATAGAATGTTTTCTAGGCATCCAAAACTGCATTAAAATAAAATTGTAAAACTAATAAACTATAATAAAAAAACTCCAATAATCAAGACAACTGTCATAGACTTGTTGGATGTTCATATATACCGTCAATAACTGTCGGAGACTCGTTGGATGCTCATATACCAACTTCTCGCATTTTCCTTCTTTAAAAAAACTCCAATGGGTTCACATTTTTTAATCTTTTTTTTCCTTCTTTAATTACGGACTTTTTGACTTTTATGCTTTCAGTTAAGGTTCTATGATCTAGTTTCCAACTTCTCGCATTTTCATTGCTTATTCCTTTGTAATAAAAGAAATACTTGGTTTCAATTTATTCACAAGCATTTTTTTGGGTTCCCATGAATTATTTGCAGAGAAATAATGCAGAACAACTATTTTTAAATAGTCAACTATTGCAGGAGATATCTGAACTTCAACATGAGTCATTATTGATACGAGAAATTCCACCAAGGTTGTGTGAGTCTGTAGCAAATTGCAAGGATATCTATAAGGACGTTTTATCAATGATGCAGGTAAAAAATTTGCATATAGTTCCAGTAGTTGAATTTTGAACTTTGTTTTTTAGACTTTTAGAGTTGACTTTTAGATGACTTGAACAGAGTTTTGTAGCTGATGAAAAATCTTCTACCGCAAAATTGCTTTCAAGTACAAGTGACATTGCTGTTTGTCTATTCTCAACTCTAGAAACCCATTTCTCAATGGATAAAGATGGATGCAGTGTTTTAAGTGGGGAGAATTCTCCAATTCAAGAACAATGGAAAGTGCTTGTTGAGAAGTTGAAAAGTGCAGCTACAACCTTGGCATCTTTGCAAGCACCAACTTCCGAGCATCAACATCTGATGGTTCCAGTGCACACTAGCAAAAATGAGGTAGCTGCCAAGTCACAATCATTATGTCTTTTTCCAATTCTGTTTTTATTCACTATCTTGTTAATAGGATGGCTTGTTTATTTTTTGGATTTCTGATGTTTGGTTATTATTTGTTCTAATTGAACATGGCTCAAATTATCCATCGTTCATTGTGCAATTATATAAGAAAATATCTTAAATAAAAATTTCTTTCAAAAGTTTTATCATCTTGCTACTTGGTTGTGAATCTGTGAGAATGGATTGTGACGTTTCAAGTCTTGCATCTTAAATTTGTCTCTTGATGCAAAATGAATGAGCAAAAAATAAACCAAATTCCAAGTATGAATTCCTCTGTACACATTTTACAACTTCCATGTAAATTGTACACTTTGACTTTTCATTCTGTAATTAATTCTTTGCACTCCCTAGGTTTTTAATGAAAGGACCTCCTTTTAAAGGCCTGCAAAATATGCTCCAGCATGTTACTGATAGCAAGTGCCTGATTACAAAATAAGAGCCCCAAATTAGAAACCCTAATAGGTGCTGTAATAATGAAATTATATAGACCAGGATGATACTGATTTAATGCATAACCTATATGATTTTGGCTTGCTGAAAGTATTTTAGACTTCCACTTGGCATTTCTGTTACTTTCTAAATTAGCCCATTAAACAAGCTGAACTCCAAATAAGGCCTACAGTAGATAGGAACTCTAAATGTGTTGCTGATTGTACATATATAGATCTTTTGCTTTTTTTTTTTTAAATGGTTGAAGTTGGCAATGAAATTATTTCAGGGCTTCATATGTGGCTTTATGGTGTTTGTCTTTTTTAAAAAGAACGAGGAATGGGAGAACTACATTCTTATATTGGTGTGAGGTTACAAATTCTTTGGTTCTGTATGATCCTTCTTCCTTGGGAGTGCGTAATCAGACCTAAACTTCTGAATCCAGTGGCATGCTATGCGTACTGCATCCTTGTTGATTGAGTGTCATGTAAGCCTTGTCAGTAAAATAATTATGATGCATATTATGGAAACTCAATTTTGTAACTCTCAAGGGAGTTACACTAAATAATACACTTTCGCGCTGTAGCCTGTACCTTGGAAATTTCTCTCATCTCAAAAGTAAGGCGCATCCTTGCCATGTGTCTGATACTCTGATACAATTATGAAAATAGGCCATCCAAATTTAAAGATTGAATTCTAACTCAGAGGTTCATGTTGATAGGGTAATGCCAGGAAAATACTATAATTCTGTTCTTAAAACATCATATCTGTGGTTTCTTTGTGCTAGGTTTCTAGTTTTTTTTTTTTAAATATTTTGATAGGTTGGGTTTCTAGTTAATGTCAATTGTTAATTTTATTTCTATTTCCGAGTCATTGCAAGCCCAACGACAAAGATTCTGTAATCACTTGCTTTCTTCAACTCAGTGTTGCCGGTTGCTTCTTATTGTCTTATAATTTGAGTGTTGCATGTATTGAAGGGATTTGATTTTGGAGGTGCAAATGCTAGTTGGATGGAGAAGTTAGGTCATGAACTGAATGCTATCAAGGAAAAATACCAGATCTTGGACAAGGATTTCAATCACAACAACAAACTCCTGGAGAGTTTCAAGGAGAAGTGCCATAGCTTGGAAAGAGAGTGCTCTATTTTGAAAGAAGAAAAAACCTTCCTTGTTCAGAAGCTCTCCAAATCCTCTCAAAAACTTGAACTTGTTACCGACCAAAGGGACAAGCTCTCAAAGGATTTGAGCTTGGAAGTGCAAAAGAGGAAAGAGCTTGAACGGGAAATTACACGGTTCAGCTTAGCTTTTGCTCGTCGGCAGAAAGCACTCATGACATTCCATGGTGAATGCAAGTCTAAAATAGAATTTTTGAGAACCCTGAGTCCAGGTTCAAAATCCAAAACTCTTGGGTATTGAAGATTAGATTGTTTAAATTTTGCTATTTAATTGAAAAGAAATAGCAGGGAGACCTTTTCTGTTTAATTTATTTATTTGTAGACGGCTATGTGAAGCTTCTTTTGCTGTATTCAAGTAGAGAGGGTATTTCTGTATCACCCTTAAACTACGTTGTGGCATTTCCTTGTTTCAAAGATTTGATTAATTTCTGTATAAAAAAGTGATTCAACGATTTGGTTTTCCATGACCTGAAATGGAAGGCTGTTTTAACTTCAAGATTGACTTAGCTGCTCAGATATAACTGTTATTTGAGGCTGTTTACGGCTGAAATAGGCATACCTTAAAATATGATTCTGTGTACTGGTTTGTATTGACTGATATGTATCGTTTTTTGCACCCATTTATATTCTATTTTTGAGAGTTCGGGTCCTTTAATGTCGGGAAATATTTACAGTCTTAGTAGTTGTAGATGTAACAAACCGAAACAAATAAAGAAAAATTGAGTATTGTGCACTAGAAAGTCTGGATCCACAATTTTTACGGATACATCTCTCACCAATTTGAATTGATCGGTCCAAAACGTTTTAGGTAGAAATAGTAATGATGTCAAAACACAGTAACAGATGCTAGTTATAGCAGGATGCCTGTGACCATTGTTAAGATGTGTTGGACATTACATGTCCATTGATGCGTTGTCACCATGTGTTTTCAAATTTTGTCATGCCTCTTGTTTGAGACAAGAATTGCCTGCATCACTGCATGTAGTATGGGGGAGTTGATGCGTGTTAACTGCAGTGGGGTAAGGACTTGGTGTAGTTGACTACTTGACTGGGTGGTAGGAAGTATGACTATTAAATGGCCAACCACGTGGGCCCGACAAATATTAGAAAGCTGGAGCTACTTGGTTATGCTTCACAAAGTGATGCCAGACATGGACCGGATTAGGCGGTTGAACCAGTGATCTTTCCGGGTCCCCAGTTAAATAAATCAGTTTCCATGATTTGAGTAGGGCTAGGCTAAGTGGTCGATTAACCTGCGAAACCATGACCCCCAGTTAGCTGAGCATTCTGATTTTCTATCCGTCCAGGTTACAAATTGAAGGGTGACGGGTAAACCGGGTTTCAGATTATCAATAGATGGCGGAGCTTTGCTGATTCTGTTATATGTTGCAACATTTCCTCTTCAATTAAAGTTAAACTACTCGTATGATTATTGGTCACCTCTTGATTGGGTGTAAAGCTTTTCCAATATTATAACCTTCCGGTATCATAGTCGAACCTTAGTTAGATCAAGAAGGAAAAATAAAAAATAAAAAAGAAAAGTCTTGATCAGGTGCTTGTACCATTTCAAGTTTTGAACAATTATTTAAATTTCCCTTTTCACTTAATGTTGGGCCGTTGATTCAGGAAGGTACTCATGCACTTGTAACCATTGGATTGTTAAAATGTATTAAAGGCCCGCTTCGATGAATCAACATCCTAGCTTTGGATAAAGAAAAATAAACAACTGGTGGATGGATGGAACTTGGAAGGCTACACAATCTCTATATAAGTCCGGATTTACTCTCAAGAGAGTGCGAGCCTCACAGCACTTAGAGCAGCACATTGGGAACATCTCACTATTCGTAAATTGTCATTCATGTGCACAGCTACAACTTTCTTCTGTGGGGAGTAAATCCAAATTCCTATATATGGTATGATGGTATGGGTACCTGTGAAATCTCTCGCTGAGCTTCTTTGAAGAAATAAAAAAAAAAAGGTTTTTATGCTTGTCGATTACTTTGCCAGCGTGCACTGGTTAGTGAGTTGTAGAGAATGATGGCAAGGGACACAAAAAGGTTGAAAAGTGGAAAGAGAGGTGAAGGATATAATTGAAAATAGGAAAAGAAATAAGTGAAAAACAAAAGTTAGAGAGATGGGGGGTAACAAGCGTTGCACAAGCATTGCCCAAACTCTGGTCCACCCACATGATCAATTACATTCTAACGATTTTTATAAAGTTTGGTACAAACAGAACATGCAAATATTGATTTGGTCAGCATGATAGACGGGACATATGTATTAATATATGATACCACATTATTGTTTTGATCACTCACTGCAAATTGGTGTAAAATATTGCATCCAAGTCATTATCTTCCCGACATGTAAAAATCAAAAGCAAGAAGCAGCTAAAAATGAAAAATGATGAATTTAGAATTCTTGAGGCTGCAACCGGTAATATGAAGTTGATTATTATTGTTATTTATTGTAATTTATAAAATATTATTTGTCTCTCATCAAAGCAAATCTTTTTATTTTATTTTATCTTTCTCTCATTTTCTTCGCAACCAAACGCAGCGTAAGGTCAACCAAAAAAAAGTCTTACTTATGTTAAATCAGGATTACTGTCTCTGATGCTGCGTATGATCCGGTCCCAAACTGACGGATACGCTTTGTCTATCCCAATTAAGTCTCCACCACCTCAATGACTTCATCTATCCACTGACAAACCCCTAAAACCACATTTTCCTCCTCCTCATCTCTTCTAACCCATTTTATCTGGGAGGTCTAATGGCATTGGTATCCTCCCTCTCCAAACCAGGCCAGGCAAGGAAGCTCGGCGAGCTTCTCCAAGAGCAACAAGAACCTTTTCAGCTAGAAGAATACCTTTCTGAAAGAGGGTATCTGAAGAGAATCTCGATTTCAGAAACCAGTAGACATCATTGCTGCCCTCTCAATTCACGTACGCATTCTAAGAATTTGGGCAGTTGTGGTTTAGAACTAGAGAGAAGGAAAGGGATTTTCCACTATCCGAAGGTGCTGAAGCTAGTATTCAGCAAACTTGTTTTTGTCGGTGACAACCGGAAATTATCAAATTGCGATCGCAGAGCTTCTGAAGATGGAGGCGTTAATGTCTCTGCGATGGGAGGCGCAAATACCCAACAAGCTAAACAACTTGATAGGTTTTCATCTGCCAGCAGCATCACATTATTTGATTCCTGTTCTGAAAGCGATGCAGAAGAGTCTCTGTCCTCTCAAAGAAAGAACATTTCATCTTGTCCTGCAGAAACTTTCAGAGCTTTTAAGACTTACAATCTGAAAGAAGAACAAGAGGTAAGGGGGTTCTCTTATATGCTTTCTATACTTTCTATCCCGTGATGTGTTATATATATATACATGTGGTTCAGCTTTTATTACTCACAAAGCTAACAGGCTTATACGGATGATAAACTTCAATGGGGATGCGTCGTTGAAGATGGAAAACAACTCAGTCCGGTGTCAGTATTAGAAGAAGAATCCTGTGATAGAGGTTCCCCACTCCAAAACCAGAGTTAGTCTTTGCATGCTCCGTCTGCTTAAATTTACATTAAGATAAGATAATAATTTTTTTTTTCCTTCCTTGTTCTGATGCTGAAAGAGAACACTTGTTTTTGTTGTTCATCAAACAACAAAACAGTGCAGTGCTGCCCCAAAGCAAGAAGCAAAAAGGATACGAGCTTTAATCTATCAAAGAAAGTTACAGAAGAATCCATAGTCTCAGCTTCTCTATTGGAATTACTTGTACAATCACTGAAGGAAAAATACGGCTCCACTGGATATGCAGCAATTCATGAGCTTAGTGGGTCTGGTTCTTCCCAATACTTGAAGACAAAAAGGGTGTTGCAGCAAACAAGACAGCTTCTTTTTGACTGCATAAGGGAGACAATAGAGACTCATGGAAGGAAGGTAAGAAGGCATCAGGGTGATCATGAATTCTTAGGGACCGAGGAGATTGGGAAGATTATCTGTGAGCGGATTTACTCATGGGGTAAACAATCTGTAGACGAAACAAACATAACCGAACTGATACGTTCTGATTTTTCATACTCAACAGAAGGGTGGAGTGAATTCCAGCCACAGATAAAAAATGAGATAGCGATGGAGATAGGAGATGCCATCTTCGAAGAGATGAGGAATGAGATTATTACAGACATGATTGGCTTATATATATATATCTTTGCGCTAATTAGTAAATAATTCATTCACACTCTTCTCTTTTTACTTGCCCCCTCATCTTTCAATGTTGCTAGTCTTTAGGAGTGCTTAGATACCAGCTGGGGCTGGTGAAGTGAGACCAGCCATTTCATTTAAGTTTTCATAGCGCGCGTTTGAATTTGAAATCTTGAAAGCTTATGTACATGCAGCGGAGTAGTGAGTTCTAATTAAATACTGATTAATCATCTCAAAACATGGATTTTCATCTGCCCAAATTGACACCCAATATATTTACAGAGAAAAGATATTTACTTTTATGTAAAGTAGAAATAAAGAAACTAAAAGTAATGAAATATGGATGTTGATGTGTTAGCGACCTTCAACTACATGCAGAGAGGGGAATTTAATTAAAAAGCAATTGGCAACTCATCTCCTTGCATTTAGTACGAAAGTTGGGTATTTGTACCACATGCACGTGGGTCTGCAAGGGATGGATTAGGTGAAAATTTTTTCTCAGATTAATCAGTACTGACAAAGATAGAGGCCCGCCCAATTTATTTTCCAAGTTAGCACTGAAAGATGGAAGGCCCCGAAGTCTGTTAAACTGCGGGAATAATTCATTAATTCTAATGGATGAGCTTAACTGCTCTTTGGATTAAAAAAAAAAAAAGGCTTTCCAGCAGGGAGGTAGGTTGTCTATGTCTTCCTGCCGGATTGATCCCTCTAGCTATTTGAAAATCCAGACTGTGCATGGAGTAGGTTGAGGTGACCCTCCGGTTGGTCGCTCCCCTCGATCCAGACTGTCAGTTACGTTAAACCGACCCTTTTAATAAGTTAGCACGACTTATATGCGGGGGGTCCTTTTATTCTGGTCCCCATTCGGAATATTATGGGACCTGATCGAGAGTCCAAGTGTCCAATGCTTGAAATGTTGGGTCATATCCGTCGTTATAATTCTAAAACTTCCATTGAAGCTAGGAATTGATTGCATTGAAACTGAAGCAGCTACTCTCACAAAGTGTCGTGATATGTGATCCGTTAATGGTGGTGGGGCTGTAGTCTTCAGAATACTACACATTCGGGAGTTAGTAGTTACTCAAAATGTCTACTATCAAGAAGAATTACTATTTACTCAAAATGTCTACCGTCCAAATGAGACCTGCCAGCGATGGAAATGGAATTAAATTCAACCGAGGGAATGAAAACGGCACTAAACCTATTTATGAGCACAAATTGAAAAGCGGTAACCCTTTAGTTTTTGTCAGTCAATTCACCTACTGCTAAGTGCTAATACAACAGGGTCTAGGGTTCGTCTAGAATGACTAGAATTTCCCACAGTACAGTAGCAGCTTTCCGAGTCCTCGGCGGACTGGGTCTGGTCTTTGGGCTTTAGGGTGTTCGGCATGGTCCATATTAGGGCCGATTGATGATTTAGTGTACAATTGCATATTCTAAGACCACTAGCCACTAGGATGGTTCTCTCTGCAACCCCTCCCCCCTCCAAAAAAATATTAATTTTGAGGAACGAGCTACTAGACACCAAAAGAAGCAAATGGGTACCACTCTCTCTCAGCAGTAAAACACATATACTGGAAGAAGAAAGCGTAATAGGAGGAGCAAAAATGAATAGGTTTGGCTTGTTTTGCTTCAATTCAAACATCGGATATCCGGTCATGTGGTGGCCTTCATCATTTATGTGGACCAAATGTAAAAGACTACAAGGCTCAAATCAGAAGGTTAATAGTCCTGAGATCATGTTTAAGCAAAAACAGGGAGAAAAATGCATGACAAGGTAATATTGATCTAGTGATATAGATGAATTGATGAAGGTGCATGCCTCATTGATGGCATTCATCTAATGACTGACTGACTAATGGTGGGTGATAGGTCCCTTCTTTTTTTAATGTAAGATTTGATGAGTTATAGAGCCTAGCTTAGAACATAATTACATAACCGAGTAGCTCTCATTTTCAAAGTGAAGTACAACCAAGGAAGGTCTTGACATTTTGTCGTTGTAAGAGGTGGGGCACTGAAAGTTCAATGTTACTTTTGTTCATTTTTACGAGTCTCATGGATAAAACAAAATACGGTTCCTCAAAAGCCAAAAAAAAAAAAAAAAACAACTAGAAAGAAAATTAAATGGGACGACCCTAGAGTCAGGATACTGCAATCTGCAAATAATTTCGATCAACATCTTTTTCTCATTTTTATTAGTAGAATTCAATTGCTTATCTGTCTGTATTAGATATTATTAAATGGGATCCAGCAGATCACTGAATTAGACAGTGTAACTGCCTAAGCTACACAACTGACGCTCAAAATATTGAAGGGAACGATCAACGATGTCGATCTTTAGTTTACCATGCAAATCTGCAAAATATACGATTCCTTCATCGATTCATCTTTTTAGGATCAGTTTGGTTTATTGGAATAGGTGATTGGAATTGGAATGGGAATTCTACCCTTTGATAGAAATGAGATTCTGATTTTTATTCTTGGCGGAATGGGATTCCCCCAAATGGGGATGGCCATTGCAAGCTTCCCCTGAGGAATGGGATTCTCATTCCGGGGTATGTTAAGTAAAGAACTCGTGATAAAAAAAAACCCAAAAAAAATTGTAATCAAATAATAAAATATCATTAAATCAATACTAAAATATTAATAAACTATTAAAAGTATTAGTAAAATAGTAATAAAATATTAATAAATTAATAATAGAAGCAAATATATTATTTATTAAATAATAATAAAATATAGTAGCATAATTAATTATTAATAAAATATAATAATAAAAATATTATTAAAGTAATAATAATATAATGATATATTAATACATCATTCATAAATTAATTATATTAAATAGTAATAAAAAAATAATAAAAAGCAAAAATATTATTTATAATATAATAATTAATTAAAAATAAAGTATTAATATAATATAATTAAAAGAATAATAAAATACTACCATATTAATTATTCAATAATAACAAATTAAATTTAAAATAATAAACAAAAATAATAGAATATTAATAACCTATAATAATAATAACCACAATAAAATCTAATAAAATAATAACAAAGTACTAACAAAATAATAGTTATATATTTACAAAATATTAATACAGTAATAAAAAATAATAAATAGACCAATATAAAATTAAAAGTCTTCAATTGATTCTGATCCCAATTTCAAATGAACCAAATAATAACAGTCGGAATCCAATTCCAATTCCCAACTAAACCAAACAAGCATCAGGAATAGGTGATTTCGATTTCGATTCATGGGGATTCCAATTCCAATCTTGTTTGAAAACCAAACAGATTGTTAATGGGCAATAATTCCCTTGTTATGGTATGCTACTCACTCAAACACCTTTAATGACATTAAAAAAAAAACAATCTAAATGATCTGATCAAGCTTTTACTAACAAAGTTTTAGGCTATACATAGTGACAAATAATAAACGGTTCTCTCTACGGTTTGGTGGAACAGACCAAGTAATTCCACTTGGGTCTTTGTATCAGTGCCTTCCTCGTCCAATAAATTGCCAATGGAACTCAGTTTTGCCTTCACAGGCTCAAGTTCTTCACCCGTTCAATGAATAAGCAAGATGGTCATGGAAAGAAAAGCAAAATCCTTGATTCAATATGATCATCCAACACTGTGTTTATCCATAGGAATAGCATGCCTACCATGGTCCATTAAGTGGGAATGATGAGGACTCTTATAGACTGTGTTTGGTTCTGACACAAATTTTGTTTGCACTAGTGTAAATGCATATGTGAATGCAAATTCTGCTTTACTTTAACATAATGGTGTGGTCCCCATAGGAGGGTTATTCGTTTGGGAGTGAGGTAGGTACAATAATGGTGTGGTCCCCATAGAGAATAGAGGTATGAGGTATGGAGAAGGTAGTGCAAATTTTGCATCAACTTTTTAGATGCAAATTTACATTGTTAATGAAAGTAAATCGAAAAATATACAAATTTGTTATGAGGTATGAGTGTGAATCATAATTACAAACAAACATATGCAAAACTGAATTGGGTGGGGACCAGGGAAAGTTTATTTTCCTGGGTATCACTTACCCGGGTAAGTGGTACCCATCTCCTAGGTGGGTAAATAATTTTTCCACCTAGGGGAAGTTGCCAACACTTGAATGGGACAAAAATAGCCTTTTTAATTATGGATTTTTATGGCTAAAATGGTCATTGCCTTATTTACATGAGAAATAAAAGAACATGGGTAAATGCACTTACCCGAGTAAGTATTTCCCAGGAAAAACTTACCCAGATAACTGCATTTACCCGGGTAAATAACTTACCGAAAAGCAAACTGGACCTTAATGGTCAAATATTTTTGTTACTTTAATTTTTTCCTCACTAATAAGAAAAGGCCAATCTTAATAGCCAATACAAATTGTTCTCAACACAATATGATATCTATTGTTGCGCAATCTGACTACTCCCAGCTGGAGGGCGATCTGGCTTCCAATCGAGCAGTGAGCTGGATCTCTTTGCAAGATAGTGGATCAGAGAACCCGAGGTGGCTAACCCGGCGAGGTCGCTCCGATGCTTAAGTTAGTGTACTGTAATGCGAGCTGAATACTTGAGAGTTTGAGAGCTTGAGAGCTAGAGAGTAGAGTAATCGTGCGTACCATTGCCTTGAGGTTCCCACCTTTATATACTGGAGTAGTCGTGGGTCTCACGAAAGAGCTCCAGGATCTCCGGGGTTAGTTCCGCTTCTGAAGGAACACCTCGTAGAGAAGGCTTATTGTTTTACTTCCGACTCTGGCGGAGCCGGGATGAGTCCTTATTGTGATCTCGGAAAAATCGGGGTCTGTTAGCTCATCGTGGTCCTGAGAGATTCGGGATCTGTTGGAGAGACCTCTAGAGTCGGTTACGTGGCGATTCGAGTTGTTAGCCCCAAGCTGATACTTCGATTCTTTAGTTTCGAACTGGGTGCCCGAGATGCCTCTACGCCAAAGTGAGTTTGGAGCCGAGGTGGCTGGGACGTTGCAAACTGAGCTCGCCCGGCTGAGTTGTCATCCTTCAACCAGATCGTGCTTACGTGTCCCATTCCTGCTAGGTCGCGCCAAAACACCCTTCATCAATTGCCCCCCACTCCTCGTGCCAGGGGTCCCAACCCGGTGCGACGAGTTCAGGGAGGGTCTAGGTGGATTTGGCGTGGGGTCTAGACAATCTGAAGAGACAAC